CACAAGTCACGTTGACAGGGTATTTTTCCTGAAAACTCTGGAGCTATGCCCAGATTTAATGGTCTTTCTAAAAGTTTCTGTTCTTCTTTACTCAATGTTTTATCATTATCATCAATGAATATTGCTGACACACAGGCTTCTTTTGTTTATCCTGGATCTCTTTTATATTGTCATCAATTTTATAATATCCTAAAATGAAAAAAATGGAGAACATATTATAAATCTTACACTTTCCATGGAGAGGGGCTTGTACCCATGTTTTGTTATGTATTTTATTCAATTGTTTCTGGTCATGTTTCCAAAGCCTAAAAATGCACACAAATACTCTTTCTTGTTCCTCATCCATAATGTTTAAAGAAATAGGTATTATTTTCATCCAAGATGGAGTAGGTACTTTCCTCCCAGATCTTCTTTCTTAAAATTAAAAATCCATGCATAACAAAAAAGATGAACAAACATACAAATACTCTACAAAATAGAAAAATGTGAACCTCAGGACTTAAGAAATGACACAGTAGAGAATTCCAAAGCTTTTCTTTCTGCTTCCCATATATCCTAGACAGAGTGGTGAAGAAACCTACAATCTGGAGCCAGCAACAAAAAGAGCTCCAAGAGAAAAAAAAGTCATTTCTTCTAGCCAAAAGTAGCTTAACAGAAACGAAAACATGTTTGACAAAATACACATAATCATGCAAATCAAAAATGGAATTCTTCTGTGGTTCCATGAAGGCTGAGCAAGAAGCTAACCTTCCACTGCAATGGATACAGACGATCTGTGTGCTCTTGTAATATTTCCCTCCATGAGTCAAGTGGGGAACTCATAGAAAAGATCATAAAGGATCCTGAGAAAGTTCCATTTTTGGGATATGCTGTAAGATGTAACAGGAGCTGGTGCCAAAATTCTGCCTAGAAATATATTCTTATCGGGCAGGCTTGGTAGCTTAGCCTGTAATCCCAGCACATTGGGAGGCCAAGGCAAGTGGCAAGTGCATTATATGAGCCTGCAGGTTCGAGACTAAACCGGGCAACTTGGTGAGACCTCATTCTACAATAAATAAAAAAGTATTGGGAGTGGTAGTGCCTGTAGTTTCGGCTACTTGGAAGACTGAGGTGAAAGGATTGCTGGAGCCTAGGAGGTCAACACTGGGGTGGCCTGGATGACTGAGACTCCAATTAAAAAAAAAAGAAATATATTCTTATCTAATTTATGGAACAAATATATTAACCTGCAAGGGTAAGAACAACAAATCTGCTGTTTTAGGGCACTAGCAGGCACTCATAGCAGCTAGAGGAAGAAAAGCAGCACAGAACAAGACAAGAGGCAGGAATACCTGGTAGGCCCAACTATTGGGAGAAGAGATAAAGTAGCGCTTGTGATAACCACACCTTTAAACTTGAGACCACAGTGCTTTCAACAACAGCTAAACTCACATTTTCTCAAATGCACATGGAATATTC